TCTCTCTCATACCTTTATTATTCAGGTTAGGATACTGGTACCGAAATATACCGGTTTTCATTTCATACCCAAAAATAACGGTACCGAAATTAAATTTCGATACCGAAATTAAGCGGTAACCGTTATTTAACGGTATGACGTCATACCGCAATTTAAAGGTATCGTAATTTTTCGGTTATTCAGTCCCTGCTTGTATGTTTGTAAACGCACCCACGACACAGGAGATAATCCTAGTGTGGGGCAACGTTTTAAAAAAAAAAAAAAATTAAATGCGTTGCGGTGCGACGCAGCGTCTGTGTCCTACGTGCAGGCGAATCATTTCGCTTCGTTTTTGTTTCCGTCATTATAACTAAATAGAAACATGATAGCACCACATTCAAATATGACAGCTTGCGCGAAATATTAAACATATGTATTTTTTGAAAATTTGACTGCACGGTCGCCGCGGCGGCTGGGGGCAACTGACTGCCGCGCAACGTGTCGCGGGTTCGATTCCCGCACGGAACAATTCTTCGTGTGATTCACAGATTGTTTTTCCAACGAAATTTGAATACACATTTAAATTTACAACGGTACAATTCAATGAAAATAAATGAATTATTTTATCCATTAATAATAATTTAAGTTCTCGATCGGTTAACCAAACCAAGCAACCAACCAAGGATTGTATTTATTTTTCAGTACTTTGTCAACGGATTTGGTATACGAACACATTTCAAGAATGTCCATCAGAAGATTCCTAAGCCAAAAGACAAAATTTGCGACCTGTGTGGCAGGGGATTCCATGTAAGTATAACTTAATTAATTATTATGTTTTTCGGCTTACTCACGTAATTATTTGACTACGAACTCGACTAGTTTCAAGCCATGCTGGAGGTTTATATTATTGAGCCTCATCGTCCTGCGACACGCGGCGACTGTCGCGCTGTTACTAAAACCAGTAGAGTTCCTTGTCAAATAATTACGCGAGTAAGCCGAAAACGTGATAATTAATTTAGTATGTCTCACGAAACTATACATTTACATTTTTACCCTAAGGGGTAGCCAGAGGTGCACATTATGGCATTTAATGCCACCGTACAATGTAACACCTACTATTTATGTTGCGAGTCCTGTGTAATAGGGCACCCCCTATTGCCATATAGCAGGCACATTTACAGACTCCATGCTACTACTGAGATGTTTTTTAAAAACCCATTAATACTTTAGTAAGTACCAATGTGACTTTTTCCGAGTTATATGTACTTATGTACGGTTTGACCTTTGACTGTACATACACCAATGACAAACGGTGAAGAAAAATATAATGAGGAAACTATAATTTCTAAGTATAAGTTTGAAATTGCCAACCCGCATTCAGCAAGTGTGGTGATTAATACGAGTCAAACCTTCTCCGTGTGGGAGGACGCCTTTGGTCAGCAGTAGCCATTTATAGGTTGTTGATGTGAATTTATGTATTTTTCTCTTCCAGACAAATAATATCCTCATGAACCACAGACGTACTCATACCGGTGAAAAACCCCACAAATGTCAATACTGTCCAGCAGCCTTCGTTCAAAAAACAGCCATGTTGACACACCAGAAAACACAACATAAAAACTTGGTTTAATCATCTCGCAATCAGCCACGTACTGTGTCCACTGCCTCCCACAGTCCCACCCCAATGATTTCTTCGCGAGGTTGAAAGCAACCTTGAAGCCTTGAGCTAATGCTCACATATGGGGTGTACGAGTTATAGTAGTTAACTCCGTACATTGATTTGTAGTAGAGATGAAGTTGATGTAGTGTAGAGATACAAGTTTCATCCAGTTGCACTGAGTAGTTAGTTTATTGCAATTAACTCGTCGAGTACCGTCATTATAGACACAATTATAGAACAATAAGTTGCGGTCACCGGTGACCGCTTGGTGTTTGACAGTTTAAATTACAATATGAATGAAAGGCGATTATTTCTCTCAGTTGCTGATAGCTACCAAGTTATAAGTTGACTATATTTTAATTCGTTATTCATGTTGTTTTATTACGCGAAATTGTACGCGCGTCGTTAGCCTAAAGTAGGTTGCCGCGTAAACAGGAAAATGTGCGGTGGTGAAACCGAACGGTGGGGCTACCGCTACTGTTTTCTCACCAAATAGCGCTAATGTGAACTACTCGTTTTTCGTCCAATAGGGAATTAGCTAGTGGCACGCCATTGAACATTCAATATTTGACGGCTGCAGTGATTGGACAAAAACAACTCTTGCTACTTTTCCGCCATCTAGTGAGTAACGGTAGCCCCCATTGAACGAGTGTCTGTTGTCGCATTTCGGAATATAGCTAAAGTTTCTAAGAATACTTCACCGAACAACTTCGTCAGTCATGTAGAGGAGGTATTTATTTATTTATTTATTATTATTTATATTTGATGGGGCGACGTTTGACCACTATCTCGCCTAGTGGTAAGCGATGATGCGGTCTACGATGGAGCACGTCGTCCCATAAGCAAAGAAATATATAAATAATATATTGGTCGTATATCAGAAATTTTCCTAGTCAGTTACATGACATAACGCCTTTTACCCCCTGAGGGGTAGGCAGAGGTGTACATTACGGTACTTAATGTCACTGTACAATGTAACACGCATTTTTCACTATTTATTTGACGAGTCCCATGTAATAGGGAGTGAGCCTACTGCCATATACCGAGCACGATTTCAGACTCCGTGCTACTACTGAGATTTGTTTTAAAAATCCAGTAATACTTTGCACAACCCGAGACCACTCGACCAACGAGGCTGTCAACATCAGTACCTACTAATATAATAACACATCTGTACATGACACTTGTTTTTTAGAGTAAAATAAAGTGTTTTCTTTCTTTAGATGTCGTAAAGAATATCCTATAGTAGCCAGGTCTATCAGACCACCACAGATGGGGCCCAGCTGGGCCGATGCCGATTCGGAGTCGCGGAGAACCTAACGGGTTACCGGGGCTCCGGCTCGACGTGTAGGAGAAGGAACGGGGTGGTTTTTAGTCAGTAAGAGTCTGACACTCCCTCCTGCCTCACCCAGGCGGAATCAGTCATTCGATGATTTTCCCCATTTTACAAAAAAAAAAATGTAGCCAGGTGCCACAGCCGTTGTTCCAAGAGACTGTGTCTGCCTTTTTTTTAACGTCCTTGTGTACATGTTAAAAAACGATATTTTTCCATGAAATTTGTAGTGTAAGTTTTCTCAAATAATTCAACATAAAGATTTTAAAATCAATAATTCATTGAGATCAGTATTTTTATGTATAGATAAGCCTGAACAATATACCTAAATGTAATTGCACGACTGCTAAACTACTCGACCAAATTAGATACCTATTTATGTTTTATTGTGTTCATATTGTTAATGAATAATTCGACACAATCACAGGGACAGGATATAGCACCCGGGGGAAGGGGGGCTAGTTGTAAATAAATAAAACATGTTGTAAAACTTAAATCATTGTTTTATTCGATTAAAATTACATAAAGTACTTAATATTCAGCATTAATAGAGGCTGCTGGACAGTATTGACATTTACTAGGTCCCTCATCAGTGTGTGCACGGCCAGTAGATCATTAAGTATATATCCTTTTCTGTTTTTCTCTATTACATACTCAACTTTATTATGTTGATATAAAGTCGATAATCCAATGAATAATTTTATTAGAACAGATTAGAGTAGCTTGTGGTTTTGATAGTGTTGTGGTGGCACGGAGGTTCAAGACGCCCGCTACTCATGCATGAGGGCGCGGCTCCAAAACCAACCAGCGGCAAGTACCAATGTGACTTTGTCCGAGTTATATGTACTTTTTAAGATTATTTAGACACCACAGACAAACGGTGAAGGAAAACATCGTGAGGAAATATGAGCATATAAATTCTAATTATAAGTTTGAAATCGCCAACTCACATTGAGCAAGCGTGGTGATTAATACTCATACCTTCTCCATGTGAGAAGAGGCTTTGCTCAGCTTTGGGCATTATAGTCTGTTGATATGTGTATGTGTGGATTAGGTTGATCTACTGGCTACTACACGTACAGACGTACATAAACCACAGGGTTTATGAGGATAATATTTGACTAAACAAAAAGGGAAATTGCTTAAAATATGTATGTATGAAATAGGATTCATTATATGTATTATCTGATCTCTGCTATTTCAGACGAACCGAATCCTCGTGAACCACAGACGTACTCACACCGGTGAGAGACCTCACAAATGTCAATACTGTCCAGCGGCCTTCGCTCAAAAAACAGCAATGATGACACACCAGAAAACACAACATAAAAATGTCATCTCGTCATCATCACATGAGACGCAAGACGTCCACTGCCTGACACAGTCTTCCACAAATGTCTGCTAAGTTACCGAAATATATGTAAGCGCATAACTGCTAAACTACTCGACCAAATTCGATAATTGTTTGTTATCGTGTTCGTTACTGTTAGGACAATGTTTGTATGAAACCGTACGTATGGTGCGTCGCGTCCCGGGCGCGCCTCACATAGCCGTATCAGCCACCATAGATGGCCCAGTAGGGTTGATACCGATACGAAGCCGCGGAGAACTTAACGGTTTGCCGGGGCACCGGCTCTCAACAGTACCTAGTAGGAACGGTGTGCGTTACCCAGGCCAGATGTTGTCGAAAATAGTCATTTGAATCTTATAGACAGTTTCGCGACTTCTGTAATTGTTGGAGGTTATCAATTCGGCTGTATGTTTTTTTTATTGCAGAACTTATTTAAACTAATTTCTAAGAAGCCATGTACAAAATATGATAAGAATCCGCTTAACCATTTCAAAGATCTAACAAAACCAAAAACGTTACCCCAGCAAAATATCGAATAACTTTGCAACCGATAAAAGAACAAACAAAAAATAAGGCACAACATTTACTTCATATACCTAGACAATTAATTTTATTGCTAGTAATTATTTGAATATTCCCATTAGAAAGAAAAAGGTCTGGCTGGGGTAATGTTACCCCAGCAGGAATTTTTTTTTTGTGAAATAATTAAAAAAACTATAAGCGCAACAAATATTAAAATGTGCGCAACAATTACAGAAGCCGCACAACTAATTATGTATAAGATTCAAATGACCATTTTTGACAACATCTGGCCTGGGTAACGGACACGTAGGAACGGGGTGGTGTTTAGTCAGTAAGAGTCTGACACTCCCTCTCGCCTCAACCAAGGCGGGATAAAACATTGGATGATTATCCCCCCGAAAAAAGGTATGTATGAAAGAATAATTAGATACATTCAAAGGGAAATGAGAAAAATAGCATCCGAGGAGGGAGTGGGCTTGTAAATAAATAAAACACGTTGTAAAATTTAAATAATTGTTTTATTCTTTTTTTTAATTACTTGAGTTTTGAAAGAAAGAAAAGAAAGAAAGAAAAACCATTTATTTTGCTACGACACACAACAAGAAATTAGAAATACATAAAAAAAAAACGTATGGTGCGTCGCAGCGGAAAAAGCTGGAGCTCAGCTTAATACTGTGGACCGGGCACAGAGGCTCGAGCCCACGGCGCTGATTTTCAGCACCAGCCCGTTATAATACGTACTAGTTACACATCTACACGAACGCTGCTCGGAGTACAGCATGATGTATAAAATAGTAAATTAATATAAAAGTGAAAACTTTTGACCACTGTCTCGCCTGGTGGTAAGCGATGATATGGTCTACGATGGAGCACGTCGTCGCATAAGCAACCTATACTCGGGACTTGAAGACACCCAGGTTATACCCTTCAGGAAATACACTCTGGCAAAGAATTCCACTCCTTAGCAGTATCTACGCGCAAGGAAGCTTGATGTGAAGCGCTTTGTGCTTGTGACAAGGGGGAATCAAGTTCAATTCTCCTGCACCGAAAACCGAAAGGTTTGCGACTGTATTCGACGCTTTGAAGAATTCGATTAAAATCACCCAAAGTAAGAAGAAGAAATTATATAATAAGAAGAAATTACAGTATTGTTTATGTATCCATTGGATCAATGAATTAGTAACCAAATTAATGAGTGGGTAACATACCGTAAAAAGGTCCCAATAAGTATAATAAGTCTAAGGGACAAGTCCTCTATACTTAATATACTCTGGTATTTAATAAACCAAATAGTATAATAGGTACGTATAGGGGTATTTTATACCTAATCTTTGACACAGTTGTAACAAAAGAGATATACATCCTTCCTTACTAATATTATAAATCGTAAAGTGAGTTTGTTTGTTCTGCCTTCACGCCGTAACTACTAAACCGATTGCTTTAAATTTTTGCAGACGTAAAGTTGGAAGTCTGGATTAAATAATAGGGTACTTTTTATCCCGCAAAGTATTGGTATAGATGGCGCTGTGTGTATTGGTATATGTCGCATAGGCTACTTTTTATCCTTTGTGACGAGAGCGAAGCCGCGGGTAAAAGCTAGTATATAATAAGTATAGGGGATGATGTAACTACTGCGCGAAACAAGCTGTGTGGCATGCAGAGTGCAGCAAACAAGCAGCACTGTGGTCAAGTGACCGACTCCAACTCTACGCAAATAATTAAGGTTTTGGCGATTCGTCGAAAGTGGGGCGGCCCGCTCTTCGTGCCACTCATTTAGGGGGACATTTAGGACCTACTATAACCATCAGTATAGAACTTTCTACCTATAAAAAAATTTAAATCTGTGGCAGAGAGTATAATCGCCACCAATAAAATAATCTAGATAACTATAATAGGTATTGTACCACGAGCATAAGCAAATTAAAATTAATTAAAAATTATTTGCGGTCTACAATGACCGAAACCAGATTAAACAATCTTGGTATTTTAACGATAGAACATGAAGCAGAGGCCTTAGTACGAGTTTGTTTTTTGTATTCTATATTCCGTGGTTTTACGGTTAAAATTTGAAGACGTAAATTCGAAGTTAACTAGTGTCAAAGGTAGAAACAATTATATTTCGACTTTTATAATAGTCTTTGAAATGTGACAAAGTTTAGGATCCCTCCCTCCCCCTTGTCACACTTCGTCGACCCCCTCCCATCCCCTTAAAGTGTGACGCAATTTATGGACGGCCCCTAATAAACGCATAACTGCTAAACCACTCGACCAAATTACATAATTATTGTTTATGGTATTCGTTATTGTTAGGACAAGCTTTTTATAAAATAAAAACTCGACACAATCACAGGGTTATAGCACCCGAGAAGGGAGGACGGGGGCTAGTTGAAAATAAATAAAACATGTTGTAAAACTTAAATAATCGTTTTATTCGATTAAAATTACATAAAGTAATATTCAGCCTTATATATTATCTTATGTGTTAACCTAGAAATTATATAATCATTAATTTATCGTACTGTACAAGGTATTAATATTAGGTATCTTTTGAATCAATGAA